GAATTGCAATGCCTGCTTTTTTCTTAGTACCATTTGCTTGGTATATTTTTTTCATCCTTTCACCTTAAGATAGTGCCTGTCCTTGAAAGTGAGATGAGTTTCTTGCAAACAACAAAAAGAATGGGTTCTGTTTCTTAATCCATTTACTTAGTCTGTGTCTTTTGACTGGGGAGTTCAATCCATTAATATTTAAGATTATTAATGAAAGATGTGTACTGAATCCTGTCATTTGTATTTCTGTTCATTCTTGATATAGCTGTACTTTTCCATAGTTAATACCTTCATTGAATTTCTTTTTGCAACCCCTTGGGTATAGTCATTCCTTTCTTCAGCTCTTTGTATTACTTCCAGAACTCTCTGAAGGGCTGGCTTTGTGGACATGAATTCTTTCAGCCTATTTATGTCATGTAAGATTTTTCTTTCCCCTTCGAGTATAATAGCCATTTTGGCTGGGTATAGTAATCTGGGTTGGCATCTGTGGTCATTTAAAACTGGGAATACTTTGGTCCAGGCTCTTCTAGCTTTCATACTTTGCAATGAAAAGTCAGCTGTAATCCTAATGGGTTTTTCTTTACATGTGACTTTTCTTTTGCAGCTTTCAGTATTGTCTCTTTGTTGTGTACATTTAGTGTTTTTACTATGATGTGCCATGAAGAGTTTCTTTTCTGATCCTGTTTGGTGTTCTATATGCTTCTTGAATTTGTATGGGCGTGTCTTTCTTTAATTTTGGGAAATTTTCTTCTACGATTCTGTTGACGATCTGGTCCATGCCATTGTCTTTGGATTCTTCTCCTTCCTGTATGCCTATGATTCATAAGTTTGGTCTTTTTTATGATGTCACACAATTCCTACATATTCCATTTTTGTGATTTCTTAAATTTTTCATAATCTTTGCTTGAGTGTCTAGTTCATCCACTTTATATTGCAGTCTTGATATTGTTTTCCATTTCATTCATCCTATTTGTGATGCTTTCTTCTGTCATTTCTTCTTCATTTCAGCCTGAGTATTCTTCAATATTTCTCTTTTCTGAATTCATTCAGAAGTTTATCCCTATCTTCCTTCAGGTCTTATTTCTTTGTTTGTGTGTTCTTTAAATTCACTGAATTCTTTTATCATGTTTATAATTGTTCTTTTGAGTTCCATGTCCTCGATTTTCTCTAGTGAGTTCTTATTGTACTCCTCTAGAGGACTATTGGTATTTGGTGGGGATATGTTATTTTGGTTTTTCACATTATTTTTTCTCTGTGATTTTGACATGTGAATTTCTTTTGTAGTTTCCAGTTCTTGTGTGAGACTCAAGCCTTTATGTTTAGGTCTGCTTTTTTTGGTAAAGTTTACATGCCTTTGTGGTTTACTTTTTGGGCATGAGAACCTGGTTCGTCTAAGCTTCCCGTTCTCTTTTGATTTTATATTGGAGTGGCCAGAGAGCTTTTGTCTTCAGGAGTTCTCACAGAGGCCCAAGTCACAGGAAGATCAGATGCTCTCAGGCTTTCTCATAAGTTCTGGATTCACCCAGGAAATATGTTGTCCTCAGGAATTTTGGGGTTGGACTGGCCTGGGAGCAGGGCCCAGGAAAGATGCTGGTCTTGGGCAGCTGGTGGCTGTGGCACCCAGAGATGCAAAGGGAGATGGGGGCCCCAAGGGACAGGAGAGAGGCTGGCGGGTTGTGTAGCCCAGGGAAGCAGAGGGAGGTGAGGGCAGGCCCAGGCCCAGAGGGCTCCCAGGAGAGAGGGTGGCAGGTTGTGCAGGCCTAGGGAAGCACAGGGAGGTGAGGGTGGGACCAGGCCCAGATGGCTCCTGGGGATCCTGAGAAGTAACTGGGTTTGTCTGGATGCAAGGGATCAGGAAGCAGTGGTGGTTTTGGGCCTAGAGGTCTGCCTCGCCTTCCAGGAAAGAGGTAGGCAGGTTGTGTAGCCCAGGGAAGCAGAGGGAAGTGAAGGATTGCCATTTTTAAGGAATCTCAGAGAAGAGAAAAGTAATTTATTGTGTGTATCACATGGTGGACATAGTAAGTGTTCTCCACACATAATTTCAGATTTGCTAGAAGCCAAGAGCTGGCAAATGTCTTTTATCCACAGATTCAGTGTGACTACTTGAGTCAGTTGACTTGCTAGCCCTCAGAACAGGTTTTCTTGCTGGTGATGGTCATTTTTGCCTTTGATCCAAGCACTCATGAAGCAGAGGCAGGAGGACTGCTGCAAGTCTGAGGCCAGCCTGGCCTACACAGTGCATTCCAGGCCAGCCTGGCCATATAGCACGACCCTGTCTCTACAACAAACAACAACAACAAAAGGTTTTCTCCCCCTTCCATAGTAGTCTCTGGCATTCCCCACTAAACCATGTGTGTTAAAAATTACAATTCAGTGAAACAGGCATAGACTTTAAGAGAATGGAACTGACGGCTTACAGTTTCTTTGAGGCATGCTTAAACACAGGCTTACTGAATTAATTTTTCTTTCTTTCTTTTTTTTTTTTTTTTTTTTGAGACAGGTTCTTGCTCTATTGCCCATTGGACTGGAACTCACCATAGGGCTCAGGCTGTCCTTGAACTTTCCAGTCCTCCTGTCTTAGCCTCCCAATTGGTGGGATTAAGGTGTGAGCCTCCATGCTCAGCTTTGGCTGACTTAAAAAAATTTTTTTTGGATTTATTTTTACTTCATGTGAGTATTTTACCTGCATGTATGTAAGTGTACCCATGTTGTGCAAAGCCTGAGGAGGCCAGAGAATGGCACTGGATCCCTGGAGCTGGGAAGTTAAGGACAGTTAGCCATCATATGGGTGATAGGAATTGAACCAGGTCCTCTGCAAGAGCAGCCAGTGATCTTAACTGCTGAGCAATCTCTCCAGCCCCTGGTGGGCTTTTTATATATTCAGTGTATGCATGTGTTTGTGTGGGTGTGTGCATGTAGGCCAGAAGTTGATAGCTGGATATCTTCCTCAATTGATTCCCACTTTATCTATTTTTTGAGTGTATGTGTGCATGAACCTATCTGTGCCATGGTGTACAAGTGGAGTTTGGAAGACAACTTGTGGGAGTCAGTTCTCTTTTTCTACCAAACTCAGGTCATCAGGCTTGGAAGCAAGTGCCCTGTCCCACTGAATCTGAAGCTCATTAAGCTAGGGTGGCTAGCTAATCAGCTCCAGAATCCTTCTATCTCAAGCAGGGTTGGGGTTACGGCACCACTCCTGGCTTTTGGTGGCATGGGTGCTGGGGATCTGAACTTAGGTCATCATGCTTGAGCAGCAAGCATTTTACCCACTGAGCCATCTCGCTGGCCCCTGACTGACTTCTTGATAAGAACAGATGCATACACTATATGACTAATCTCACTGATTTAAGGTTCTTCTCACTGCCAACATTTGATGAGGGGAGAATATAGTCATGGGCTGATATCTGTTAACAAACTTTAAAAATTATGTCAAACTTGGGGCTGGAGAGATGGCTCAGCAGTTAAGAGCACTGGCTGCTCTTCCAGAGGACCTGGGTTTGATTCATAGCACCCACATGGCAGCTAACAACCATCTGAAACTCCAGTTCCAGGGAATCTGACAACCTGTTCTAACGTCCATGAGAATTGCGTGACATGGGTGAACTTACATACACGTAGGCACTACACTCATATACGTAAATAAAAATAATAAAGAAAATATTTTTTAAAAAATGTCAAACTCTTTCAGGTGTATCCATGAGCAGTAGGACATGGAGGGGGTTTCAGTACAAGAATCTGCAACTCACTCTACTGCAAAGAATGCACCCAAGTGCCTTCTTTATTTTTCTGTCTTCCTAGATCTTTTGGAAAAGATGCTTCTTTTTGGCTGGGGAACATCTCCAGTGATAGAGTGCTTGGCTAGCATGTGCCAGGCTTTGGGCCTGATCCCCTGCACTGCTTCTGAGTCACTCACTGTCTCTTCATGGTGCTCTCGATGTATGACTCCAGCAAGAAGATGGTTTCATCCACCTGGATCTCACTGGCATCCAACCTGAGTGAAAAAGTGAAAGTGCTTGCCTAGACTTCATTAGCATATTCAAGATTAAAGGCTGTGCTGGGTGTGGCCATGCAGAATTTTTTGGTTATCCTTGAACAGGTGGAAAGAGAACCAGGAGATCAGTTTTCCAGTTATTGAGCATTTCTTACATGCCAGGGACTATGAAAACTGCTGAGATAGGCAAAGTCAGAGCTTCTGTCCTGGGAGAGGTTAAAGTCTGTGTAGCAACCGTGAGAAAAAACAACACATGTAAAGGCAGAAGTAAAGGGGTATGAGATGCTTAAGGGTGACTGAAGCTTAAAGTGAGTAGTAATTAGGAAGATTAGAGAACTTCCTCAATCTGATAAAATTCACCTAGGAAAAAAATCACAGCTAACATCATACTTAATGGTTCTCTAGTTAGTTTCAGCTGTCAACTTGCCGTGTCTGTGGGGTGTAATCTTGATTGCTAGTTGCTATGGGAAGAGCCAGCACACTGTGGATGATGCCATCCCAAGGACAGGATGGCCTGGGCTCTATAGGAAAGGTAGCTGAGCAAGCCGGGGGAAGCAAGCCAGTAAGCATCATTCCTCCACGGTCTCTGCTTCAGTTTCTGCCTCCAGACTCCTGTCTTGAATTCCTGCCATGCTTTTCCTCAATGATGAACTGTAACCTGTAAGCCAAATCAACCCTTTTCTCCCCAAGTTGTATTTGGTCATGATATTTATCACAAAAACAGAAAGCAAACTAAAACACACACAAAGGTAACTTGAGAGCATTGTGAGAGATGGTCTGGAGGACGAGGTGAGAGGAAAGAGGTAATGAAGGTCTGTGGAAGAATCAAGATAAAATGCCAGCTTTTAAATCAAAGTAAAATTCACAGTACTTGGTGAGCAACAACAGCAAAGAAGAGAAACATGATGCCTTCAGAATTGCTGACTTAGATAAATTGGTAGAGTAAATTCTGTTAATTAAGCTAGGGAGGAAGACAGTGCATTTAGGTTTGCCCATGTTAAGTTGGGGGAGTTAGAGTGTCAAGATGGATTTGTCTGAAAGGTACTGTGAAGCCCAAGACTGCATTTCTGGCTTACTTGTTCACATTACGTTTCAGTGTCTCCAGCTGCTGGCGCTCAGGGGCCGTGATCATCTCCTCTATCTCTTGCAGCTGCACCTCCTCTGCGCCTGTGGCCTGCATTGAGGCAATGATGGCCTCTACCCTCTGAGACTTTTCTAGTAGCCGCCTGTCAGACAAGCACAACTCTGAGATTCTCTTGCCCTTTATCTCTGAGGCACAAACTCCTCCCATTACTGTGATTCTAATTACCATCTTTCATCTAGAGACATTTTCTACTAACTTAATTACAAATACAACTTCATTCCTGAAGCATTTATTACCTCTCAGCAGCATTAAACTTTGGGGTGCTTTCCTATAAATTTAATCTGTAAAATTATTTAATTGGAGTGTATTTAACCGGTGAAAACAAAGATATGGCTTACGCCAATCTAAACCAATGGTTCTAGACTGGGTATTGGGTTATTGTCTCCATTTCCATAGGGAATTTCCCCTCAGGCTTTGGATCTTAAAAAATGGAAATAACTCAAGTGGAAATGCTACTCACTTGTTCTCTTTGGTTTCAAACTGCCTCCTTTCTATCAAGTTGGCTATGCTCTGAGAAAAGAGAATAAAGATTAGAAATGCACACAGCTCTGTTTAAGCAGCCAAGGTAAAATGGGCAAGGGAAGCAGAAGGGGAGACTTGTCTATGTGACATGGATGGGGAGAAAATCCACATGCGGTTACCTTATAGCATCTGTGCAACAACATTCGGGTAGCTGACAGGACATTCACAGTATATAAATAGAAGGTCCTAGATGGGGCATGGTCTGGTGTTTTAGGAATTTCCTGTTTGTCCACAGAAAGAAAAGAGAAATTGTACTGTTCATCAGAATTGGCAAAGTAAATACCCACTCGTCTGGACCTATCAGCCCTCACTTTACTGACACTTTCTTGTTCCCATGTTTATGGCACAGTTAGTCACAAGAAGATCAGACTGCCTGTTTTTACATTTTCAGCATCCTGAATAGGGATGAAAGAAAGGCAACTAATACTGAGCAAGCTCTACACATGCCAGGTCGATTGCATTTGATTTTCACAACAGATCTTGTTTGTTATTTGAAAGTGTCCTACTATATACTCTAGGATGTCCTCAAACTTCCTATGTAGCCCAGGCTGTCCTCCAATTTTCATCCTCCTGCCGCAGTCTCTTGAGAACTAGAGTTACAGGCATACACTACCATGGCTGGCCCAAACCATACTGTTCATCCATCACCATTTTACAGATGGGAAAATGATGGTAAGGTGACTTGCTCAGTTAAAACTGGGCAAGAGGCAGAGCTGTGAACTGACTCTAAAATCCATTCAAACTACGTCATCACAGGTCTATGACATCACTCTACAAGGAACCAATATATATTGATCCAATTAATCTTTTATAGATTTAAGGCTCGAGGGAAGGTCAGGAGTAATGGGGTTGGGGGCTGGAAAGGGCAGAGAAGTTGTGGTTGTGAGGTGTTTTCTTAGCTTATTCTTTTTTACTAGGCCAGTTAAAGCTTTGTATTATCCTTCAAGGCTGGGTGTGGTGGCGCATGCCTTTAATCCCCGCGCTCCGGAGGCAGAGGCAAGCGGATCTCTGTGAGTTCAAGGCCAGTGTGGTCTACTTGGTGAGTTCCAGGACAGCTGGGGCTACAGGGAGACCCTGTCTCAAAAAGACAAAAAAAAAAAAAAACCCCAAAAACTCTGTATTATCCTTCAAGGCTTTGCTACGTCTTTGTTAATAATTGCTTTCTGCCTTCCAGGTACAAACAGTGTGTGTTTGGGAACCAGGATAGGAGTTTCTCTTAGTCTACGCCAGCTTTGCTTGTTGGCAATCATTGCAGCACTGGTTACCTGGAGTGAGATGAAGTTTTCTGAGAGCATCTTATATAGCATATCCTTTGCTTCCTTTGCAGGAATCATTGCAAAGTCCTCCACCTGCTTCTGCTCTAGGTGTTTCTTTTGCAAAACGAGACGGAATATTCTGGCACAGCGAGACCCAAATCTGGAAAGGAATGAAGAAAGCATGGCACACCAACATAGATTAGCTTTATCTCGTAGTCCCACTGTTCCTTACTAGTAGAGCCAAGATTCAGAGCTCTTTCACAGTTCCATAGGCTGGTGATGGCTTTGTTAATCATAACTAGTCACCAAATGCTGACTCCTTTGAATGCTGTAGTTCTTGAATTACAAAACTTTAGGGAGCTTAATTTGTGTAACTGGGAATTAGCTTTAGGGTGAAGATGGTTTCATGGAAACATGAGACACACTGCGCCAAGATATGCCTATAATGGTCAATTTATTTGTTTAAGTGGGGTAAAGACAGGAAGTGTCTGACCCCAATCCTAGTCCGTAACCCCCTTACCTCTCCTGTATAACGGACTCCAGAGTAGCAGTGGCAAGGGTAGCTAATGCTTTATGGAGGTCTTTATGTAGAGAATTAAGGTCATTTAGTAATGCTTTGGCCTGGTCATTGTGATCTTAGATTCATTCCTAGATGCCTAATTTAAAATTAAAAATTAAATGATATTTTTTTTTTTTTTTTGAGACATTTTCAGCATCTTGAATGGGGAAAAGAAGGCAACTAATATTCACTGAGCAAGCTCTACACATGCCAGGTTGATTGTATTTGATTTCACAACAGATCTTGTTTATTATTTGAAACAGTGTCTTATTATATACTCCAGGATGTCCTCAAACTTCCTATGTAGCCCAGGCTGTCCTCCAATTTTCATCCTGTGGTCCAGGCTGGCCTGGAATTTACAGAGATCCATCTGCCTCCTGAGTGTTAGGATTAAAAGTGAGTGCTACCACACTCAGCATGCCTGTAATCTTAATACTTGGAAGGTGGAGGCAGGAGGATATGGAGTTCAATGACAGTCTCTAGGCTTTATAGTGAGTTTGAGGTCAGCCTGGGCTACAAGAGAATGTCTCAACAAAACAAAAACCAAATTTTTCCAAAGTCACCATTCTGCTTTGTAACTCAAGCCTCCCAACTATATGGACAACTGGTAAGGATACTGATGACATACATTCCTCCACCACTGTCACCAGACTTTCCAATAAACTCGAGCTGTTGAAGAGAGACAGACAGAACATGCGTTAAATGAATGGACAGTCCAGTGATTCTGTTTCCAATGGAGCAAGTACCCCTCATACCAGATGATGGGGAATTTGTGGTTAAGCAGAGAAGGAGGCTATAGGAGAAAATTAGAAATCAGTGGCAGAAATAGTGATAAACAGACTGAGAGAGAGAATGGGGGGGTGCGGGGGGGAACAACAACAACAACAACCCCTCAACAACAACAAGAAACAAACTCCACAAACCCCCAAACATAGACTTACTGGATCATCTGCTAGCAGAGTGAGATATTGATCAAGAACTTGTTTAGATATGTTATAACCAACAGGTAGAGATCTGAAGATCTATGGAACAAAAAGAAATGCTGGAACCAGGCATGGTGGTGAACAACTTTAATTCTAGGACTCAGGAGGCAGAGGCAGGAGGACCTCACAGATCTGCCTCTGTGAAGCCAGCTGGGGCTACACTGTGAGACCCTATCTCAAAACAAAAACAAAAACAACACCTCCCCCAAGAAACCCCCCCAAACCTTTGAAACAATGAAAAGTAACATTTAAGTAAATATAATTAGGAAAACAATAGAAATATAAGCAAATTTATTTGATAATGTTCCAAATGCCAAGAATTTCATGAGTCCAAATAGATTCTTTTTAAAGATAGTTTTCCTTTGCTGCCCAGTCTGGCTTTAAACTCTTGAAATGGAAGCATCTTCCAACCTCAGCAATCCCCTGAATAGGTAGGATTACAGGAATGTACCAGGATGCCTGGCTATACTAGATGCTTAATTAGGAATAAATTATACTTGACAGATATAAACTTTGACTATAATAATGGTTTAATTTTTAATTTCTTGATTTATTTTTATGTGTATGAGTGTATTGCCCATATGTATGTAAGTACATCCATGTTAAGAGGACAGATGAGGGTGTTGGATCCCCTGGAATTGGAGTTATGGATAGTTGTCAGCTACTATGCTGGATAGCTTTAGTGTCAACTTGACACACCTGGGTTGAGGAAGCCTCAACTGGGGAATTGCCTTCATTGGACTGGCCTGTGGCCATGTCCATGGGGCACCTTCTTGATTGTTGAGTGATGTGGAAGGGGTTCAGCCCACTGTGGGTGGTGCCACCCCTGGGCATGTGGGCCCGTGTTGCATAAGAAAGCAGGCTGAGCAGGGGCCAGGGGAGCAAGCCAGTAAGCAGCGTTCCTCCATGGTCTGTGCTCCAGCTTCTGCCTCCAGGTTCCTGCCCTGAGTTCCTACCTTGGATTCCCTGATGAACTGCGACCTGGAATATGTAAGCTAAATAAACCCTTTTCCTCTCCAAGTTGGTATTGGTCAGAATGTTTTGTCACAGCAATGGAGAAACAAATTAGGACAGCTACCATGTGGGTACTAGGATTTGAACTCAGGTCTTCTATAAGACCAGCCAGTGTTCTTAACTGCTAAGCCATCTCTCCAGCCCCTGGTTTAGATTTTTTAAAGCCACATCCTAAGTGCAAACATTTCAGTGCTTACTACTTTCTTTTTTATTTTTAAAAATATGTTATTTATTATTTTTATTGTATGTGTATGTGTGTATTGCCTGCATGTAGGTAAGCGTGCCTGTGTCATGCAATGCCCAAGGAGGACAGAAGAGGCTGTTGGATCCCCTGGAAATAGAGTTATGGACAGTTGTTAGCTGCCATGTGGGTGCTGGGATTTGAACCTGGGTCTTTTGCAAGAATAGCCAGAGCTCTTAACCACTGAACCATCTATCTATAGCCCAGTGCTTACCACTTTCAAGAAATCCTTGACACTCCTCCCTTTTTTTTCAGGGCATAGTTGTCAACATAGCTGCACGCATTACACATGATAGTTGTTATAATACCCAAGTCTGTCAGGAAGCTAGCAGGAAAACAAGAAGCTTACCTCATTAGAAGACAAAGGTTGGGTGAAGGGAGCACTAGAGGGAGTGGTGATCTCACTCATCCGGAGCATGGTCCGCACAATCTCACTGCTTGTCTGTGTTTAAAAAGTAAACTGGAATTCAGGATTCACTGTAGTTGCTGCTGGCTCTGTACCAGTGGCCATATCTGACAACTACTGAATGACTCATCTTATTCGTTGCTGGCAGACCTGCTTAGATATTACCTGGTCCATTCGGTTTGCAACTGCGCTCACAATAGCTTGGTCACGGAAGTGTTGGTGAAATCTGTCAAGGTTGACCTGCCAATAAATCCCATCATCTGGAATGGGCTGAGGAAGAGAAACAGATTAGAGAGAAACTTTGAAATACAGTGCAGTTTCCTGTTGGGTTTGGATATAACAGTTCACTATTTCATTTGCTATACTGTAGCATCTAAATTGGCTAGAGAAAAATAATTCAAGTATGTGTATTACTGTCCTGACAAATTCCAACTTCAAAAGTTCTCTAAACTCATCTTCCTCCTGTCTCTGTTTTAATTCTTCATTACCCTCAAGTCTCTCATTTGACACCTGCTTCTTCCTCTTTGCAGGTGGTTTCATAGAGAAAACAGAAGTCATTAGGCCAGAACTCATTCAACATTGTGCAACCATCTTTACCAACTTCTTTTCTTCTTTACTCTTTCCATATTTCCACTCAATTTTATCACAGGGGAAAATGCTCCTCTTGCCCCCTAAGACCAGTGTCCACACTGTACTTCAGATCTTGTCCTCTTACTGATCCCCAGGGATCCTGATCAGGTTTTTTCCTCTCTTCAACATCTGTTATAGTCTTGTCATCAACCTTTACTTTGTTTGGGTCTCTTACAGACACCCTTCAGCCCTTCTGCTTCCCTTCTCCCCTTTCTCTTCTTTTCTTTCACAGTGGGTTATCGTAGCTGTGTCCCTTTCTGGATTTCCTCAATCTATTTCTACTGCTGTACTAAAATGTCAATTGTCACCGGCATTCCTGCAAAGTCCCACCATTGTCCTTATGAACCTCCTTGTTGCTAAATTCAGAGAATACTTCCCAGTCCTGATCTTATTTGACTTTTTTGAAGTACATAACATAATTGGACATTTTCTCCACTGACCTCCTGAATATTGGGATTAAAGGTGTGTGCTACCACGTCCATCTAAATGTCTACTTTTTAAAGTTTTTTTTTTTTTTTTTTTGTCTTTTTGAGACAGGGTCTCCCAGTAGCCCCAGCTGTCCTGGAACTTGCTATGTAGACCAGGCTGGCCTCGAACTCACAGAGATCCTCCTGCCTTTGCCTCTGCCTCCTGAGTACTGAGATTAAAGGCGTGCGCTACCACGCCCGGCTCTTTTTAAAGCTTTTTATTTGTTTGTGTGTGTGTGTGTGTGTGTGTGCCTGCCACATATGTATAGGTGCCAAGAGCCAGAAGAAGGCTTTGGATCTCCTGGAGCTGGAGTTACAGATGTGGGTGCTGGGAACCGAATTCTAGCCCTCCACAAAGCAGTCAGTGCTCTTAACTGCTGAGCCATCTTTCCAGCTCCTAGACATCTACTTCTTTTTTGAGACAGGGTCTCTCAGTGGGCTTGACCTTGCCAAGTAAGCCAGGCTGGCTGGCGAGCTCCAAGGATCCTCCTGTCCCCATCTTCCTGACACTTAGACTGTAAGTGTGAGCCACCACGCCCATTTCTTTATTTCCTGGAGGTTCTAGGGACTGAACTAAGGTCCCTGTGAGTACTTTACTGACTGAGATAGACATTTACCTAAAAAAATTACATTTATTTATTTTGCGTGTATGTGCGCATGCGCGCGAGCGTGTACCACAGCTATATATATAGAGGTCAGAGGACAACTTGTGAGAGTCAGTTCTCTCCTTCAACCATGTGGGTCCCAGAGATCAAAGTTGGGATATCAGGCTTGATGACAAGCATTTACCTGCTGATCCATCTTGCCAGCTCAACATTTTAAAAAATTTTTATTTTTATATGTATGAGTCTTTTGCCCTCATGTATGTTAGTACACCATGTGCATGAAATGCCCATGGAGGCCAGAAAAGGGCATTGGATCTCCTGGAACTGGAGCTACGGATGATTGTTAGCAACCATGTAGGTGCTGGGAATCAAATCCAGGACTTATGCTAGAACAGCCAGCGGTCTTAACTGCTGAACCATCTCTCTAGTTCCTCCTCTCAACATCTACTTTTAAAAAATATATTTTTAGCCAGGCATGGTAGCACATAGCTAACCTAGCACCTGGGAGATGACGGCAGGAGGATCAGAAGTTCCTCAGCTACATGAGGCCCAGTCTCAAAACCACCAAAACCAACCAAACAATAAACTAACCAAAAAATCCCTCTAAACAGCTGGGCGTGGTGACACATGCCTTTAATCCTAGCACTTGGGAGGCAGAGGCAGGTAGATCTTTGTGAGGCCAGCCTGGTCTACATAGTGAGTTCCAGGACAGCTGGGGCTACAGGGAGACCCTGTCTCAAAAAGACAAAAAAAAAAAAAAAAAATCCCTCTAAACAAAACAAAAACAACCCCCCCCCCCAAACAATTGACGTAGTAACTGTGTATATTTATCAGAGACAGTATGACATTTCAATATATATAAAATACTTAAAGACCAGATCAAGGTGATTGATATTGTCACCTTAGAGATGTCTACTTTTACTTTTACCTTTAAAAAAAAAATCTGTATATGATTTGAGTGTATGTGTTCATGTGAGTGGGTACATACATGCCATGGTACTCGTGTAGAGGTCAGAAGGAGACCTTGCGTGTTGGTCCTTGCCTTCCACCTTTTTGAGACAGGTCTCTTGTTTGCTGGCAGGTAGGCAGGCTAGCTGGCTCTCAAGCTTCTGGGGATTCTTCTGTCTCCACCTCCTAGGACCCCTAGGAGTGCTGGGATTACAGACTGATTACTACCATGTTCAGCTTTTTTTCATTGTTTTTAATTTTACTTTATTTTTATGTGTATGAGTGCAATACTGTGGAGGTCAGGAGGGCTTTGGATTCCCCTGGAACTGGAGTTAAGGATGGTTCATAGCACCATGTGGGTGCTGGGAATCGAACCCAGATCCTCTGCAAGAGCAGTCAGTGCTCTTAACTACTGAACCATCTCTCTAGCCCCATGTTCAGCTTTTTCATGGGTTCTGGGGATTTGAACTGAGGACTGTAACTACAGCACTGTGAGAGTGGGGAGGGGAGAAGAGGATTACCCAGGCTTGCTGGCTGCCAGCCTAGCCAAAAACCACAAGTATCCAGGTTCAGGGAGAAAACAGGCCTCAAAGGTATAAGGCAGAGAGTGATAGAGACACTGATGCCCTCCTCTAGTCTCAGTGCATGTGCACACAGGCATGGACACCGCACACATATGAGGGCATGATTTTTTTGTTGGGGTGTATGACATGTATTCTTAACTGCTGAGCCATCTCTCCAGCCCCGAGACAGGATCTTCTTATAGCCTCAGCTGCCCTGGAACTCCCTATGTAGATCAGGCTGGCCTTGATCTCACAGAGATCCACCGGCTTCTGCCTCCCAAGTGCTGGGATTAAAGGCATGAGCCACCAAACCCATCTCTATCTTGTTTTGAAACCCGGTTCAATATTTGCTGCTGTATATACCATAGTAGCTGGCCTGTGAACTTCTGGGGATGCACCTGTCTCTGCCTCCTATCTTATCATAGAAGCACTGGGATTACAGACATGCACTACCATGTCTGGTTTTAAGTGGGTCTGGGGATTTGAATTCAGATCCTCATGTTTACTCAGCAAGCACTTTATCCAATGAGCCACCTCCCCAGGACCTGGCCATACTTTTGAAATGCTTTTGTTTGCTTATTTGGTTTTTTTAATCTTTTTTTTTTTCCTCTCACAGAACTTCATTTATTTATTTATGTTTTATTTTTTATGTGTTATGAGTGCATTGCCTGCATGCATGTAAGTGTACCTGTGTCATGCAATGCCCTTGGTGGTCAGAAGAGGGTGTTGGATCCCCCTAGAACTGGAGTTATGGACAGTTAGCTGCTATGTGGGTGCTGGGAATTGAACCTGGGTCCTCTGCAAGAGCAGCCAGTTCTCTTAACTGCTGAGCCATCTCTCCAGCCCTTGTTTATTTTTATTTTATGTGTATGGGTGCTTTGCCTATGTGTATGTAAGTGCAACTGTGTCGTACAATGCCTGTGGAGATCAGAAGAGGGTGTTGGAACTGAACTATGGACAGTTGTTAGCTGCCATGTGAGTGCTGGGAACCAAACCCAGGTCCTCTGAAAGAACAGATAGTACTCTTAGCCACTGAGTCATCTCTTTAGCCCCTTGTTTTGTTTTGTTTTTTTTTTGGGTCTTTTTGAGACAGGGTCTCCCTGTAGCCCCAGCTATCCTAGAACTCACTATGTAGACCAGGCTGGCCTTGAACTCACAAAGATCCACCTGCCTCAGCCTCCCGAGTGCTGGGATTAAAGGCGTGCGTCACCAGGCCTGGCTAGCCCCTTGTTTGTTGAAACATGGTCTTGTTATCTAGCAGAGGCTGGCCTTGAACTTGCAGCAGTACTCCTACTTCAACCTCCCAAGTGCTAGCATTACCAGGTATAAACCACCAGGCCTGGCTTGAGATGGTCATTAGCCATCTTTTCTTTTTTTAAATATATATTTTTAAATTTTATTATTTTTATTTTATGTGTATGAGTGTATAGCCTGCACATGTAAGTGCACCCATGTTGTGCAATGCCGTGGAGGTCAGAAAAGGGCTTTGGATCCCCCTGGAACTGGAGTTTAAGGACGGTTCGTAGCTGTTCCCATGTGGGTGCTGGGAATCAAACTCAGGTCTTCTGCAAGAGCAGTCAGTGCTCTTACCGGCTGAGCCATCTCTCCAGCCCCCTCATTAGCCATCTTTATAGGGGTGTTGAGAAGGCATCTGCACATGAGTTTAGGCTTAAGTGCATCTTTCTAGACTCATGTCTCACCACTGGTTCTCACATGTCTATATGTTCCATCAAATACTAATTATCTCAAACTTTAGGCTCTCTTTTTTCATTTATTTGTTGATTTTGGAGAAAGGGTTTCATGTAGCTCAGGCTGGCTTCGAATTTACTATGTAGCTAAGGATGACCCTGAACTTCTGATCCTCTTGTCTCCACCTCCTGACGACTGGATTACAGAAGTACACTACCACTTCCAGTTTTATTTGGTGCTGGGGATCAAATCTTGGGCCTCATGCACGCTACGCAAGCACTCTACCAACTGAGATACATCCCTAGCCCTAAGCCAGCCTGCCTGCCTTCCTTCCTTCCTTCCTTCCTTCCTTCCTTCCTTCCTTCCTTCCTTCCTTCCTCCCTCCCTCCCTCCCTCCTTTCCTCCTGCCCTTCCTTCTTCCCTTCCTTTCTCCCTCCCTCCCTTTCTTTCTTTGCTTTTCTGTTTTTGGTCTTTTTTGACACACAAAAAAGACAAGGGTCTCCTTGTAGCCCCAGTTGGCCTGGAAATCACTATGTAGACCATGCTGGCCTTGAACTCACAGAGATCCACCTGCCTCCGCCTCCAAGTGCTGGGACTAAAGGCGTGTACCACCATGCCGGGCTAAGCCTTCTTTCTTATATGAATTATTACTACTGTTCAAAGAAGTAAGTTAAGCCTCAGAAGAGAGATGTGGCATTCCTTCTACAGAGTGCCTCCCACTCTCGGGAGTTCTTTCTCACACTTTCCTTAGTAACTCTTAGTTCACTCTGCTAAAAAAAAAAAAGTGGGGTTGGACAGAGATAATAATGGAATCCGATCTTCCTTGGTCTTTTCCTGGCAATATCTAAAAGGTTCATAATCCTACACTTCTTAGCTCAGGAACATTTGCTTTCTCTTGGAGCTTATTATCTGAATGCTGTTTCTGGCCTGCTTCAGGGTGAGGACAGCTAATCAGGAAGCCCCATTACCTCTTTGTTATCTGTATGTTTTGGTCTCTTGGCCTTGGGCTCCCCAGCAGCATCTTCGTCAGATGATCTCCTCCTTTTACCTTTCCCTGCCAAATAAAACAGTTGAACAATTAGACTCTGTATCATGACAGGAAATGAAACAGGTGTCTCTTCATCCCAAAGCCAACTGCAGCTGCCTCTAGCTTAGAGCTGTTTAGGAGGCTGAGGAGCTATAAGAAAATCAAGTCAATGAGATTAAACCTCAGTGTGTTTTAAAATATTCATACCTTCTCCAACTATTTCTCTTCCGTTCAGTGGATGGCACTATCATCCTCCCACATTCGTAAGGGAGACACAAAGGTGTCATTCTTGAGGCCTATTTCTATTACTGCTTCTATAAGTTTTCACCTGTCTAGATATACTTTTTTTGCTGCTTCTGCTCATCCCTTCTGTAGACAATTTACAATTTATAAATGTAAATTAGATCATGTCCTTTTCCTACTTAAAATCCTTTTGCTCTTAGGATAAAGGACAGATGCTCTATGATGCCTTGCTTGCTGGGCTGCCCCTTTCTTTCTAAACTTATTTCACGGTTCTCCACACTTTTGCTCACCTTGCCTTTGCTACACTGACCTCTTTCATTTTCTCAAACACCCAATTTTTTTCTTTCTGCATTATAGTCCCAAAAATATTAATCCTTTATTACTTCATTGGTTGGTCCCTACTTCTGCTTCAAGACTGAGTTTGAATTCCACTTTCTTTGATTTCTGGTCTTTTTGAGACAGGGTCTCCCTATAGCCCCAGCTGGCCTGGAACCATGTAGACCAGGCTGGCCCGAACTCAGAGATCCACCTGCTTCTGCCTCCCAAGTGCTGGGATTAAAGGTGTGCACCACACACCTGACTGAATTCCACTTTCTTAAAGAAGCATATACTTTTATCCTCTGTACAAATTTCCTCCCCTATTACATATTTTTGTAATACTTAGCTCCTTCACAGTTTATTATATATCTATGTGATTAATATGTCTCCTGTACTTAGATCCAAGTCCTATAAGGGCAGGGATCATGGGTTTTTCATCATTGCATACCATAGTGACTGGCACACAGCAAGCAACTGGTACATGATCAACTGTTGATTCATTTAACAATCAATGAAGAAATTATTTCCATAATTAGGCACATCATAGTTCCAGGATGAAAACCCCTTACCTATCAAGCTCAGCTTAGGAACTAAGTACATGTCCTTTTCATTAATGACAAGACTGGGAGCAGGTGGTGGAGGCCCAGGGTCTGAACTGCCAATGTCAGGCACCAAGGGACAGCGCTGCACAAAATGAGTGTCGGCCAGTCGCACAAATGCATTTGATACCTCAGTATAGTCCATGGTCTTGCCATCTATAGAAGAGGAGGAAAGAGGCAGATGAAAAGGCCTAAGAAAATAGAGCAGCCAGTTAAACCATGCTTTTGCTAAGAGCAGTACTGACCCTCCATGGTCTCTGTGAGTCGGTCTGCTACTTTCTTCACAACAGCTGACATTGTCATTTTGCCATTCAACAGGAGCTCCTCAACAATCAGCTCTCCAGTATCACCGTATAGCGTTTTGGTAGTATAGATGTATCGGGGATACCTAAGCATTCGCAGCACTCGGCTGCACTGGGCTTCATATTCCACCACATTGCGTTTATGCACGTGATACACCACCAGGTTATGGTGGATGAGGACACAAAGGGCTTTTTTCACCTAGATAGGGCCCAAAAGAAAGAATGGAATAACCTGGAGATTTGGTTTATTACTGCTGGCAATTTTTTTTTTCCCGACAGCTTACTAAGCATTAGGAGATTACTAGCAAAGAATCTTCTGAATCTTCTGTTTTTTCTAAAACAACAGATCTTGAGTTGAAACAACACAGGCCAATCTGCACAGGACCTGCCTCCTTGCCTGTCTCAAGGACCCCTGGGCCAGGAGTACAATGTTTGCAGCCAAACTTATTCCCAGGTCCCAGGGCAAGGGATCCAGGGTCCATGAGCAGTACAGCTCTTACAGCAGTCATCTGGGCCAACTCCCACAGCAGGATGGAACTGAATTTGACCTGACTACAGCATAGTCAAGCATATTTCCTCTTCGCGTTAGATAAACAAACATAAATGGAGGAAATCAAGACAATTCCTTACTATGATTTTCATGCTACCTTTGATCTCTCTCTCTCTCTCTCTCTCTCTCTCTCTCTCTCTCTCTCCAGGGTCACCCCCTATTCTCAGTTGGCCAGGAACTTGCTATGTAGACCAGGCTGGATCTCATAGAGATCCTCTGCCTCCTGAGTACTGGGATTAAAGGCATGTGCTACCATACCTGGCTCCTTTCATTCTTAAATCAGGGCCTCAAGTAGGCCAGGCTAGCCTTGTATTTGCTATGTAGCTGAGGATGACCCTGAACTTCTGAGTTTCTGCTTCTTCCTCCCCCTAATGTTGAGATTATAGGTATGAATAAATATACCCAGTTTTATGTGGTGCTGGGCATCACATCAGGGCATCTTACATTCTACCAACTGAACTACATCCCCATCCCCAGCCCTGTTTTTTTTTTTTTTTTTTAATCTTTTGTATCACAATTTATCCTCCTATCATATCATTTTCATTCTTGAAAGGTAGTACTGACATCAGTAGACTTACTATAAGTAAACAAATGAGGTACAGCATGGAAAGAGCAAAGATTTACTTGCAAAAGAACATTGTGAGACGCATACCCTGAGGCCTAAGTATAGCTCTTTTCCCTCAGATATGATCCTTGGGCAGACTTTCTCTACTTCCACTTTCTAGGGACAGGAGTCCCTATTCAGAGGTGAATGAAGGAGATTGAAAAGAGAAACTAAAGAGAGCAAAATTGATGTTATCTAAACATACCTGATCCAGTGACATTCCTGTGTCATGTGAAATTACTCTAAGAGGCTGGCTGCCAGTTCTGATTAAGTGGACTCCAATTTTTTCTACAATCTCACCAAAATGTTCTTGCAGCAACAAAGAGCACAGTTTAATTTCTGCTTGAGTCATTGTACTGTGGAGTCTTAGAACTAGGGAAAAAAAATATAAATTCATGTATATTTTTTTCCTGGATGGTAATTTGACAATACATATCAAAACCTTAAAATCTTGCACATATTCGCCATAATAATTTAATTTTGTATACTCTGTTCCAAGGAAATTAAAACAAAACAAAACAAAACATGCCACTAGCTCTCTTTATAATATTGACATACTGGGACAATCTAATTAGCAATAAATTATAGCATTTCTATAAATTAGCTACACTGTGCCAACACTGTGCCAACATTTTTTGTTGTTGTTGTTCTTTTTGAGACAGGGTCTCCCTGTAGCCCCAGCTGTCCTGGAACTCACTATGTAGACCAGGCTGGCCTTGAACTCACGGAGATCCGCCTGCCTCTGCCTCCTGAGTGCTGGGATTAAAGGCGTGCACCACCACGCCCGGCTGTGACAACATTTTAAAATGACTTTATACAATGTAATTAGCATAAAATTATTTGCAATTTATTGTAACAGAAATAAACTGCAACGGCTGGGCATGAATTACACTGCCTGTAATTCTAGCACTCAAGAGGCTGAGGCAGGAGGATCAACAGTTCCAAGTTGGGGGCTGGAGAGATGGCTGAGCGGTTAAGAGCACTGACTGCTTGCAGAGGACCCGGGTTCGATTCCCAGCACCCACATGGTTGCTACGAACCATCCTTAACTGGAGTTCCAGGGGAATCTGACGCCTTCTTCTGACCTCCGTGGCAATGCACGACATGGGTGCACTCACATACATGCAGGCAATACACTCATACACATAAAATAAATAAAATGCTAAAAAAAAAAATAGTTCCAAGTCAACCTCGGCTACAACATGAGTTCAAGGCCAGCTTGTGTTACATAGCAAGACTCTTTGGTGGATGATACACCTACCCACCAAAACAAAAAACTGGAAAACCAGGTATCAAATTTACTTTCTAAAGCCAGGTGTAGTGGTGCGGGGGTGGGGTGTAGCAGGATCAGGAGTTCAATCTCATTCTCATTACATACCCAGCCGGCCTCAGCTACATGAGCCTCTGTCTTAAGAAACCCAAACCCATCTTTCCCCTATATACACTATTTACTTTAATGGGACTAGATACAAGTCTAAAAAGACTGGATGCAATTGGGCATGGTGACATATCTGTAACGCCAGCACTCAGGAGGTAGCAGCAGGAAGACTGACTTGTATTAAAGGCCAGCCTAGGCTACATAATAAATTCCAAGCAAGGCTGGCTCACAGTATGAGACTTCGCCCCCCCCCCCAAAAGTGTGTAAATAACCTTGTAATCCGTCACAGTTACAAAGAACTAAGGTCACCGTTCACAGTTCAGTGGGAGTAGTGTCATTTCCCATGCATAAAATAAATGACAATTTAGAAAATGAAACGAGGAAAGAAAGCTTCTTAACTGGGTGTTTCGATGAGATGAATTTATGTTCTTTGCAGAACCTATTTCTTAAATTTCTACAAATTCGAAACATGCAAAAATAGATGTAGTCTATTTTATGATTACTTCCCTATCACAAGTTGCTACAAACATTCATTTCTTTCAATTCCTTAGAGCCTAAGTCTTTGCCCCTCTTGCCTCGGTATCACCGGGGAGCCTATGTCACTTATTCACGTGTCTTGGGAGAAGCACCACTAGACCATCTTCCGTCCTTGAAAACGATTTTCCAGGCGCCTGGCTCCTGACTCCCTTCACACAAGTTTCTGTTCCAGACTTGGTTTCTTGGCCCTGAATGAAGGTCTCTTCAGAGAGCGTTTCCACTAACCTCACGGTCAGGGCTAACTCAGAGGCTCCAAACAGAGCCTTCCCGAGGTTCCGGCTGGAGCGCTCACGGAAGTGCAGCGCCACCCACGCGAGCCGCTCTAGCCCCGCGTCTCGGTGGTTTCTGGGACGCTCTTTCCTTCTTCTCGGTGGCAGGATGGAGGACCTGCCAGGGGCTGTGTGAGGTGCCGGCGGGCGGGCTGATTCCCCGCCTCTGTGGTGTGGGGAGGCGGGCTTCGGGGTCAGCTTGCCGTGGGCGGGCGGGCCTGGTGGGGGTTGGTTTGCCGGGCGCACTCACGTGACCGCTGCGGGCTCTGGAGCGACTAGCGGCCCAGAGGCGGTGACGGAGGCGACCGCAGCCCGGGACGTAGCGGCCTGCGAGGGACTGCCCGCCGCCCTTTCGGACCACCGCGGCGGAGGCGGAAAATGGCGGAGGCCTCAGCGGCCGGGGCGGACGCGGGCTCCGCCGTTGCGGCGCACCGCTTTTTCTGCCACTTTTGTAAGGGCGAGGTCAGCCCCAAACTACCGGTAAGAGCCCCTGTTCCCTGCGCTCGGGCTCTGCGTGGATCCCTGGCCCTGACGTCTGGACCGCCGGTCTCACGCTCCCCGCATACCCGCGATTCCCCTGACGCGAGAGTCCTCGGCACCTGCTGCCAGCTGTCCCCAGGCACTGGCCGCAGACCCTCGGCGTCAGGGCCCTTGTCGGTGACTCCTGCCTAGCCCTTATTTCCACGGCTGCTCCAGCCTCCCCTCATTTCCCTTCTCTTTAAACACCTCCCCATCTTTTTCTGTCCCCCAGTGTTGTCCGCCAAGTGCCTGCTCAGTTTCCTCGCCGTCTTCACCTTGTCTCTTTTCCACGATGACCTCCCCCTCCCCCCGGACTGTACGTTGTTGCTTCTCACCTATTTCCTTTTCCACTTCTCGTAGATCCTCCCTCTTCCGCATCCTCCGTGGGGCAGAATAGCGGATTACCGAGGGACGACTGCCCCTGTTAGGTTGTGTTTAGGTCCAGAAACAGGGAAGGTGACAGGGGAGAGGTTCATTTTGCTCTTCAGTGGTTCCAGGGTCCTTGTGAAAGTGAACCGGCAGTGCACTAATGACTTGCTGACTGCCTGCGCTCCCTGTTGCTATCGTGGGAAAGGGCTTCAGGGAGATCCGCAGGACGGACTGTTTCAACTTAGTTTATTTTGGATGTCATGCTACCCGTGTCTTCAGGAGCACTTCCCTACCCCTTCTCTATTCTTCCTGTTCACTTCAGAAAAAAATTCAGGACAGAATGTTGGGGACTGCTTCCTCTGGTAGAAAACTGGTTTTCACTAGTTTCTGAGGCTGTCAGCGGATAGAGTTAGTGCTATGGTTTGTGAAGAAAACGCTTCTGTGGCATCATTGCCAGTGCCAGCCCTCCTAAAGCTGAAGCTGTTTTGGGTTGGATAGAGATAGCTTCCGTGGAGAGAACCAGTAGGGTGAATGTTAATCATACCTTTGACTAGTTGTCTTTATAGAATTGGAGTTCTTTTCCTTGGAAGTGGCTGGGTTCCTTTTGAAAGGGATGGCAGCCTGTCAGTTTATATTTATGGTGTCTGGAATACACTCTAAGAGCAGGCCTTATTTCTTAGAAACACAAATGGAGTCTAGTGAATAAGGACCTAAAGAGTAGTTTGCAGCTTTTTCATTTAAAGGTTGTGTTTCTACAGGCTTTTATGGCACTTTTATTTCCTACTTGTCTCACTCCCAACTTCATAATTAGCTACATTTAATGCTGCCTGGTTTTGCGTGCTGCTTTTGCTGCATGTTGATGTACTGTCTGCCACATTTCCTTTGGGAAAGAACATGTTCCTTATTTTTTCCAGCAGATAATAGAACTTGCCGCAGAGAGGAAGCCTGGAATTTAATGTGTGTGTGTGTATGTTCAGTGACATGTTAATGAATGTGATTGATGCCTCTTTGAACATTGTGGCTTTAGTCCTTCTAATCTGTAAGCCTGTGTTCATTAATTTGCTTTTCAGAGTAAGAATACTTAGTCTAAAGTGTCTTTTTCTTTTTATCAACCTGAAGTCTTCACTTCAAAGGGATAATTTAAAGACTTTTGAGGTGTTTCTTTAAGCCTTAGTTAGATGTCTGGAGAAAGTGTTGATCTTTTTTCTAAATTTTTTTTAAAATTTTTATTTTATGTGTATGAGTGTATTGCCTGCATGTATGTGAGTGCACCCGTGTCATGCAATGCTGCGGAGATCAGAAGAGGGCTTTGGATTCCCCTGGAATTGGCATTAAGGACGGTTCTCGTAGCCTCCATGTGGGTCCTGGGAATCGAACCTGGGTCCTCTGCAAGAGCAGTCAGTGCTCTTAACCGCTGAGCCATCTCTCTAGCCCCATGTTGATCTTTTTAGAGTGATTTATTATCTGTCCAGCCTGACTTGTAAATTGAGGCTTATCACTGTTTAAAAGAAACAGATGTTGCCTGCGTACAGACAAGGTTCTCTGTTGGGTGTCCTAGAGATGGTTTGAAAGAATATGTGGTTTTTGTTCTTAAGGATCTTCCAGGTTTTTGGAAAGGTAAGACAATCATGGAAAAAATAGCAACCTTCAGTCATGTTTAAGGATGGGAACAAATTCTGAGAAATACACTGTTAGGTAATTTTCATCGTGTGCAACACTGAAGAGTCTATTTAGATAAACTAGAATGGGTACAGTGTCACTAGGACACATACATACACATGCATGCAATATGTATATTGTGGTGGTGAGGATTGAATCCTGGGCCTTGTACATGACTAGGCAAGTGTTCCTTCACTGAACTATGTCTCCAGCCTTTTTTTTTTGGTGATGGTCTCACTATGAAGTTCAGGCTGGTCATGAATTCAAGAACCGCATGCCAAAGCGCCCTGTTGCTGGGTTTACAGGTAATGTTCCCCTCCCCACCTCAGCAATATGGTCTTAAGGAACTACCCTTTGGTCTATATGCAGTCAGTTATTCCCAGAAAGGTTGCATAGTGTGCATGGCAGTAAAGTGAGGACAGATAATATGTGGTGTCAGTTTTTGAGGGGAATATGCATTGGTGTTATTGGAGATGACAGATGAGGTGGAGTTAAATGAGTTTGAAAGGAGTCTTGAGAATACTCATCACTATGAATGAAGTAGCAAAAGGAAGTATGGGTTGAGGAAGAAGAGAGATGACGATTGAGAAATCTTTGTTGTCTTTTAGCTGACAAATAAAATTGTATTTATGGGGTGCAACATGATTGATATATCTACGTTGTGGAATGTTGAATCAAACTGAGTTTGACATATATTACCTCACATACTTTTCTATTTTTATTTATTTACATTTGTTTATTTTTGTGTGTGTATATGGGTATGTGTGAACCATGGTGCCAGTGTGGCAGTCAGAGGACAGCTGGTAGGAGTCAGTTCTCTCCGACCATCATGTGGATTTAGGGAATTAAACTCAGGTCGGCAGTCTTGGCTATAAGCATCTTTACCTGCCAAGCTGTCTGGCTGATCCCACCTCATACACGTTTTGTGGTGAGGACACTTACAGAATCTGTTTTAGCAATTTTCAAATTATATGTTATTATTAGTTATAGTCACTGTGATGTACAGTAGTATCTAATCAGTGCTGTTAAGTGTTTTTAGGAAAACGTGCAGTGAGACCAGGCTTAGTTTTGATTTGTATATGAACTAGTGACTTTCATTTTGTTTCATGCACATTTCTAAATCCCAACTCTCAGACAGTTATCTTGAAAATGATGTTTGTAAGAAGAACCAGGTCAGCTAAGTGTCTTGTTCAGTACAAATTTGCCTCTGTTACTGAGAAAAAACCTCAAACCTCTTCATATAATTCCTAATGTAAACTTGAGAGTCCCTCATTGTAAGTACCCAGCCCAAGTAGCCATGTATAGTTCCTTGAATTGGTTGAGTGATATGGGAAATCTGACTGTTCTTAGGAGAAAAACCAGACTCAGCTTATCATGGATAAAGTTTTTCATTGTCTTGACTGAATTTGCAACTCTAGGGGCTGCTGACTCTTAAAATTGTTAGATGTCTAGCAGCATCACTTGCTAGTGCTGTAGTTGTTAAATACCAGAGACTGAGTATTAATATTACATCAGCCTTTTTTTCTCTTTTTTTGGGGGGGAATTGGGGGAGGCTGGGGATTAGATTCCAGTCCAGAAGCATTGTAAGCAAGTGCTCTACCACCAAGAAACTCTCTCTCTCTCTCTCTCTCTCTCTCTCTCTCTCTTTTGGTCTCTTTTTGAGACAGGGTTTCCCTGTAGACCCAGCTGACCTGGAACTAGCTGTGTAGACCAGGCTGGCTGTGAACTCAGAGATTTGCCTGCCTCTGCCTCCCAGTGCTGGGATTAAAGGTGTGTGTCACCATGCCCGGCGCTCTTTTTCTCTGTGTGTGTGTGACAAATTCTCACATAGTGTAGGCTAGCCTCAAACTTACTGTATAGTTGAAGATGACCTTGAATTTTTAATCCTCCTGTGTCCACCTCACAAGTGCTCACAGGTTTAAGATAAAGCATATGCTGCTACAGCTAGTTTATGTGTTGCTGAGGATCAAACTCAGGGCCTTTTGTGTGAAAAGCAGGCAGTCTACCAACTGAGCTATATCCCCAGCCCACTTTTTGATGTATTTTTAAGTACCTGCAGGCCACTGCAGTAGCTTACCCAAAGTTAATTCCTGAAACTACTTTTAATTAATGAATTATAACTTTTTTTTCCCCTGTGTATTGCCTGCATATAGGTAAGTGTACCCGTGTCATGCAATGCCTGTGGAGGTCAGAAGATGCTGTTGGATCCCCTGGGACTGGAGTTATGGACAGTTGTTAGCTACCATGTGGGTGCTGGGATTTGAACCTGGGTCTTCTGCAAGAACAGCTGGTGTTCTTAACTGCTGAGCCATCTCTCCAGCCCCTGAAACTACTTTTAAGCTTTTGTTTATCATTTTTCTCTGAAGGCTGCATCGGCTTAACTTTTTTTTTGTTTTGTTTTGGTCTTTTTGAGACAGGGTCTCCCTGTAGCCACAGCTGGCCTGGAGCTTGCTATGGAGACCAGCTTGGTCTGCCCACCTCCTCCTCCTAAGTGCTGGGATTAAAGGCATGTTCTATCACCTACAGCAGGATTCAGAAAAATCAGTTTGGTTATAACTTCAGAGTGGAGTATGCCCAATGCTGTGGAATTTTAAGCCATGCTAAAGGCCATGCCCAGAAAAATTTCTGTTTCCTACTTCTCTCAAATTGGTAGATTAGGAATTGTTAGGCTTTTCTTTTTATAGATGCAATGTTAGAAATAACTCATTGAACAGTTTTGGATAAGATTTTGTAACCAGGACTGGAGCTATAGCTCAGTGATACAGCTCTTGCCTAGCATGTATGAGGCTTTAATCCCTAGCACTGGGAGTGGGGGAGAGAAGAAGAACAAAAAGATGACCATATGGGCTTTATACATTGGAACTATGTGGGGGGCAGTGGAGCAGTTGGATGTGGAGATTTACATTGGTATGTGAGCAAGCACAGGAAGATTT